TTGCATGCTGATGGAAAAATGCTGTGCAACTTGGTCTGAGGTCAGTTCAGTTTCTTGCCTTGGAAATCTTTCTCCTTGCTCAGCCTCTTGCCCCTCTCCAGCACTGCTGTTTCCCTCTTCTACTCTTGCAGACAATCATGCAGGGAGGTTACGATAAAACTTTGGCTGCTGGCAGGGTCAGGGTTAAGACTGGGGTGTCCTGTGGCAGCTTTGGCTTTGCATGAACAGGAGTGACAGCCCTTGAGCAGGGACATGATGCCTCTGGCTTTCCTTCACCGAATTAATCCACATCCTGGACATCCATTGCAACATCTCCCTGATGTCTTCATTGCCCTACCAGAGGCAGCCTTTACCACTGTGCCACTGCAGCTCCTGTCACTAAAGCAAACACAACTGATGTCTCATTTACGCTAAGTGCAAATGTAAGGTGGATAGTCAGCCTAAAGATTTTTCCTGTCCTTAAATTCCCCTTCCTGCTGTGCCTGCAGATAACTGTATTGGGATAATTGAGCACCTGGGTTAGTGGTCACGGTGCCATAGTTTGTAGGTATGAATGGAGATTTTGATTTTAAGAATTTTAGTTGGAATTTTGAATTTCCTTTCATTTACACATTGAGACTTGGCTTTCATCCAGAGCTGCAGCTTTATAATAATGCTTAATAATGACATAACTCATTATATTCCCAAATGGCTGCATAGATGTCAACTAATCAGCATACAGCTTGCTGGGGCAATATCTCTATGTTTGTATTACAGAGAAAGAACTGAAAGTAGAGACACACCTTTGTCTAAGTTCCCTCTTTTAATGGCAATAAATTATCGTTAAAAGGATGCTTAGAGGGCAAGGTTTCCTAGCTCTGGCCCCTGTTTCTTGTGCACTAGCACATACTGGTAATACTTTTTTTCTTGGATGCTTTCCTGTTGAGAACATTGTTTTTCCTACAGAGTTACAGTGGAAGAAGTTCTTAAGGAAATCTGCTTACTGTACAGGTGAAGTTTCCCCCCATGAGTCACAGACTTGAGCTGAAAAAAAGACCTGAGAATGTGTTCCCCTAAATTACCCCGTCTTCCTAGATGAACTCCAGCTGTTTGCTGAGAGCTACTGTGTTGAGTGAAAAAGGGCAATTTCTAGTCAATCTATTGGTTACCATAGAGTCAAGTGCAAGTGCTAATAGAAAACTGCAGCTTTTAAATATAAAAATCATTAGGAGAAGATTCTGTGTCCCTGGAAATACTAGATTGATTTCCGCAGTTTCCATCTTTAAATCATGCTGATATTCAAGGAAACTTTTTGGTCTGGTTCTTGGCTGGATGTCTCTACCTGCAGCACAGTTAAAGTGGATGAAAGCCCCAATCTAGAGAGGTTCCCCTTCCTCCTTCTTTTGCCTTGCTTAGGAAGAGTAAACTCCAGTTCTCCACAGAGCCAAATCCAGTCCCAAAAAAGTTCTAGCTGCATGAGGCTTGTTTGAGGTGGATTTTCATTTTTCTGGCCTGGCCTGTGCATAAGTAGAATCTTATCCTTGATCTTCATTAGTTGGATTTTTCATCCTCTTTTTCTTCCCTCTTTGTATCTTTTTCTGTGTCTCCTCCTGGGCCAGACAGGTCTCTGTAGAGCTGGATTTTCCTATTGTGGTTCCCTGCAGGTATCTCTGCTGCTTTTTCCCAGTCAGGGTGGAATGGGCTGTTTGGCCATGTTGGGATGTCTTTTCCCAGACCATGGTGGATTTCTAGCATCCTCCTTGCTGGTTCCCAGCCTTCTGACCAGGACACCAGAGAAGCAATGCAGATGCTCATAATCCCTCGATTTCATACTCAAACCCACTGCCTGGTGCTCAGCGTTAGGGTTTTTATCCCTGGAGGGATAGGAGAGATGCCCCATTGTCTGCTCAAGGCTGCTTGGAAAGATCCAAGGTTTTAGCTAACACACAGCCTTGATGACATGAATCTGTCTTCAGGAGTGCTCTGCAGCCTCAGCATCCTACTCTTCTGGTTAATGAGTATATTTAGCAAGATCAGACACTGCCTCAAAATACTGCTGCTGCAGATTCCTCCCGGCTTGGACAGCAGCACTGCTGCTTGGCTGGAGTTTGCTGGATGCTGTTCATGAATGGGAATGGATTTAGGGGCTGGGTTTCTGCTGGGTCCAACCTAATACCTTTGTCAGTGATTTAGAAGGGAGTACAAATGGTGATGATACTGACTTTTATACTTGATGCCAAAATGGGAGGCCTTACCCATATTGACAAGGGCAAAGAAATACCCCAAGGGGACCTGGAAGGTATTGGCAGAGAGAACTGTAAAATAGGAACAGAGCTATAGGTAGGTTTTCCCTATGTCTAGAGAAGAACCTGAAACATGAAAGACTGAGGAGTAATTTGGAAAAGAGTAAGGTCTGAAAAGTGACAAGAACAGATCAGCAATAAGTTTGTGTGACATGACTGAAGAAAAGATTTGCCATATGGCAAATAATCCTCAAAGATTTATCACAGAACAGGGCGGACAGGCCATTTTACTGCCATGAATGGCTGTGAGGGGCTGTGTTCCCTAGGAGCTGCTCCACAGCACTGGGGGAAGTTCAGGGGTGGGAGGGGATGCTGGATTTTTTCTGAAAAAAAAATGGAATTTTAAAATCAATTGAAATTGTTTATAATTTTCTGCCAAACAGGATGACTCACTTTGGCAGTCTGCCCTCTCCGTCCTCCCCCTCAGACAAACAAACAAAGCCAATAAGTTGCAAAAAAATAAAATAATCAGAAAAGATAACAATTAAAAATTTTCCTTTTGGTATATTCAAAACAAATGGTTTATTTATTTTTTTTTTTTTAGGACATCATTTCAGGGCTGGTTTGAATGACCATAACTTGAAAAAATGAGGTAAAAATAACTCTGAAAATAAAATGCTTCATTTTGAGTTAAAGAAACATTTTGTTCAGCGAGACACACAAAGCATTCATTTTTGGGCCAACATGAAATTATATTTTTTTCTAGCAATCTCTTGGTTGAGGCAGTGAACCAAGAAGTCAATTATTCACAGAGCTGTAGCAAGATTAAGGTAAGGATTGAAAGCAGAGCTGAAATGAGAAACTGAGGGAGAAAATTTGGGATTGAACATCCAAATTAATCTTCATTCCTCCAAGTGAAATGTGGTATTTGATGGTGTAAATTCTTGGACCCTTTGCCGCCAGCCTGAGAGGGTGGGCTACCCCCAGGACATGAAACCGGCAGTGTCCTTGTGGCCTCTGTGGGTCCCCAGCAGCCAGGGAGCGGATCAGGGTGCTGTGATGGGTTGGTGTGACCTGGGAGATGTTCTGCACCCACTGGGGTGTGGGGGCCACACCGCGGTGCTCCTGGGGACGAGTCCTCGCCCCACCCGCTGCTGTTCTAAATGCAGCATCATCTGGGGAGGGAAAAAAATAGAAGGGGGAAAAAAAAAAGGGAAGATTATTCTGCCAAGAAGCTGCCACGAGCTCTGCAGAGTGTGACTCTGGGCAGGGCTGAGCAGAGTGCTGCCTGTGCGCTGCTCAGCTAAAGAAGAGCTGCTGCTTGGCTCTGGGGTCTGGGTGCAAGTCTCCTTGGCTGGGCAGGTGGGAGCCACTGGGTGAGCCTGCAGTGGTGACTGGCTGCTGCTGGGGGGCTCGGGAGAGGCTCCTCTTGCAGGTTGAAAATGCTGGACACAGCTTTCCTCAAGCATGCAGCAAAAGTGCAAACACCCTGACTATGCTTTTTGGCTTGGGCTTTTTTTTTTTTTTTTGCACTGCCTTTTTTCTTTTTTTTTTTTCTTTCCAGAAGTGCTGAGACCTCAGCACACAGACGTCCTAAGCAATAATCCTTACAACACAGGCAAGAGAAAATCTTATTTCCCATTTTACCGGTGGCAGAGTCGAGGCAGTGGGATGGCAGGATTTGCCCAACAGCATGGTAAGAGTTGAGAGGTAGAGCTGCACTCGCAGCTGCCTAAGTTTTACTCTTGCTCCTCTGCAGAGAGGAGAACGACTGCGGTGCAGCATAAAGATGCATGAGCTAGTTTTAAACGAGCCAGCTGGGAGATGCGCTGGCTGGCTGTGGCAGCTCGGTGCTTGCTGTGTTAATTTACTCTCAGAGCAGTGGACAGGAGAGATGCAAGGACATGAGCGTGTAGGCAGGGGCGTGCGGTGCTGGAGATTCAGAAGAGGGAACGAGCAAGGTCCTGCATGAACTGCGGGATGCAGAGAGAGGGTCCAACCCTGGCTGCAGTCCCCTGCGCACCTCCCTGAACCGCTCTCGGCATCCCCCTGCTTTTTCTAACGCTGGCCATTATCCACCAGCAGAGGTAGTGAAGTGGAGTGCAGAGAACCTTGTGTCTGGGCTGAACATGCGAGCCCTGCACGAAAGAGTTTACTGGGGGTAATGTTTTTAATATTTCAGTCTGTGGCGATCCATTCTACGTTTCGAGCACTTCTTTGCTGTTAAGTAATTAATAATTAACCTGCACAGTCCGTTTGAAAACTGGAGTGGTGATGCCTGCTAATAATTTTTTTTAAAACTTTTTTTTTTCGTATGCTAATTTATTCCAGGGCTTTGCACTAGGGCACCAACCACTGGGGAGCGAAAGTTTCAAATGGCCAAAGTCGTTTGATTTTATAAATGTTCTTTTTTTCTTCGGTGCAGTCTGCGGTGCCTCCCGCTTTGTTCCTAGCGTTGCCGGGTTTCGCCGGCTGCCGCGGCGTTTCATCCCGACCAGCGGCGCGCAGCGCCAGTAGCACCGCGCGTGGATGCCTTTGCCCGCTGCCTTCTCCACCATGGGACTGTGGTGTGTGCGTGGGGAAGGGGGGACACGCTGCATCCGCGAAACGCCGGCAGCTATTTCAGGAAGCCGCGAAGTCTCCTCCTTCTTATGTAAATAAAGATGACAGCTCGGAGCGGCGGTGCCGCGGCGGGAGGCGCGGGGGTGGGCGGAGGCTGCCGGCGCGGGGCAGCCGCGTCCCGCGTGGGCCGGGGACTGCGGAGCGGAGCGGGAGCCGGGGCCGGAGCCGGGCGGGGGCTGCGCCGCCATGGGGGGGCAGGTGACGAGAAGCATGCTCTACGGTAAGGACCGGCCCGCCCTCCGCTGCGGGAGGCGGCTGGGAAGGTGTGGCGGGGGATGCCGGGGATGCGGGTTCTTGCCCGACTCGTCCTCCAGCAGCATCCCGCTCCTGGAGCGGCGCTGGCCGGGGAGGTAGCCCGGGCTGGGGATGTGCTCATCTGGCTGCACCACGGGGATAAGGCACAAATACCTGCCCGGGCAGCGCTCACGGGCGCGCTGGGAAGATGTCAGGGTCGAAGAGAAAGTAACTGTGTCCGTGTGCGCTGTCTGACAGCCCCACACCGGGCCCGCGATGGGCAAGGTTACTGCCAGGCGGCTGAGCGGGGTCTCAGAACAGTCACCTTATTTCTCCTTTCCAGCAGCAGTTTCTTCTTAACTGAATTGATAAGGTTTGGAATGAACGTTGGTTTGAATTGATGAAGCTGAGGCCGTTCAGTGCAGCCCACTCCCTGGCTTTGCTGGGTGATGTACAGGGGGGGAGAGGAAGGAGCTGCAGAGGGACTGGAATACCCTGCGTAGGCCAACATTAAAAAAGAATTTGGAGCTATAGACAACGTGCCATATTAGCTATGTCCCTGCCTAAGCAAGTCTCATGCCATAAATACTTCTGTGAGAATATTGCACTCCTTAATATTAAAGTTGCCTATTGCTCTGATATGTTCTGTTAAAGTTTGGACGTCGTAAATATTCTTCATGTTTAGTGAGGTATGAGTGTATTTTCAGAGACCTGTCCTTGTCACGATAGTAAACACAGATATGAAAGACATAGGTAAAGCATCACGTGGGTTTGGAGTATCTCATGTCCTTTCTTTGAACAGAGATGCATGAGGTATATACATTTACTCTGTGAATATCATGTTACGGCCCTGATTCTTCCCATATTTTCCACTGAGTCCAAACCCTATAGTTTAAGGAACAAATGGACATAGTTAGGAAGTAGATGACTCTTACTAAAGATATTTAGTAGGTTGTTTCAAAAGAGATTTTTACTTGTTCATCGTTTGTGTTCTGAAGTTTCTGTGTCCTGATCTTGTTACTTCCCTAATCTCGTGATATATGTGCAATATGCAGAATTGTACTGTTGGGTCAATGTAAAAAAAAAGAAAAAAAAAGAGCTCTGGTTGTTGTCTTCTGACTGTAAGTGCCTTTTCCTGTTTGAAACATTATTTGAATGAATTTGAAAAAAAGAAATGTCTGTGAAAGAATAATAGCTCTATATCTTTCCTGTGTGTGCCAGGGGCTTGGCATTCCTGCTGGGGCTTTCTCCTGCCTGCAGCTGGCAGTGCACTGCACAGTAATCTTGCAACTTCTGCCTTTCAGCGATTCTACTCCAGCAAGCATGGCTCTCTTTAATTTTTATTTGTTGGAAGGAGACTAATGAGGTGATGTGGGTAATTAACTCAAATTTTCTTTTTCATATACAGAGGCTACAGGCTGTGTTATAGAGGTGATGCACTTGTTCAGCATAGTGATGCTTTAAAAAAAAAGGAAAAAGGGACCTGCATTATATTAAAAAAATAATCACGCTACAAGAGCACATTTTACAAAAATAGACTACATCTGCACTTGTGGTTTGTCTGTGGCTACTGTCCTTCCAGTTCCATCTTTCTGTTGAATATTTCTGTTTCAGAAAATAACTGTGGAAAGAGAACAGAAACTGTATCCATTTTTTAGAAGTGTAATTGTGAAAGTGAATGTAATGATACTGAAAGGAGTTGTGTTGACAACCTTTGTTTTTAGAAATCACAGGTAAATATTTACTCCATGTCCTTCATGAGCCAAGGATGGGCTAGGATTTTCACAAGCACCTAATTACTCACTGAAAATTAGCTCAGATGGGGAGATAACGGCACTAGCTGGCTGCTTGAGGCTCTGCTGAGCTGGTCTTGGGGAAACAGCAGGTTTCCCTGGGCATGTGCCCAGAGCAGTGTGCTGGGGTCCCTGCCTCTGCCGGGGCACGCCCTGGCCTTGACAGGGTCAGAAAAATTAATTGAGATTAAAGCTCCTGAAGTGGCTCTTGAGGGAGGTACCCTTTAAAAAAAGAAACTAAAACCAGGTTGGTGATTTTTAAAAGCTGTGTGTGCCCTGATGTAAGGACAGAGGTTGGGTGTTAGCTGACAGCTGGCTGAACATGAGCCAGCAGTGTGCCCAGGTGACCAAGAAGGTTGATGGCATCCTGGCTTGTATCAGAAGTAATGTGGCCAGCAGAACTAGGGCAGCAATTGTCCCCCTTTACTTGGCACTGGTGAGGCCACACCTCAGGTGCTGTGTCCAGTTCTGGGCCCCTCACTACAAGAGGGATATTGAGGTACTGGATTGTGTCCAGACAAGAGCAATGGAGCTGTTGAAGGGTCTGGAGAATAAGTCATTTGAGGAGTGGCAGAGGGAGGTGGGGTTGTTTGGCCTGGAGAAAAGGAGGCTCATGGGAGAACTTATTGCTCTCTACAATCACCTGAAAGAAGGTTGTAGTGAGGTGGGGCTCAGCCTCTTCTCCCAAGTAGCAAGTGATAAGACAAGAGGAAATGATCTCAAGTTGCACCGGGGTAGGCTTAGATTGGGTGACTTCGTCATTGAAAGGGCAATTGGGCATTGGAACTGACTGCCCAGGGAAGTGGTTGAATCAGTGTCCCTGGGAAGTGTTCAAAAAGCGTTTAAAAGTGGTGCTTAAGGTCATGGTTTAGTGGTGGACTTGGTAGTGCTGGTTAATGGTTGGACTTAATCTTAGAGGTCTTTTCCAATCTTAAATTCTATGATTCTAGGTGTGTAGTAGTGAAGTGCAACCATATCCATACTGTCATGATGAGGAACAGCTGGCATCATTTTACCCTGTTTCACTCACAAATCTGCTTTCAAGCAGCAAAGTCAAGTCATGCAGCATTCCTGTTGGACAGAAGAGTCTCAACATCCTTTGGCATAAGGAAAGCTGTGGGTGGGTAATGCATCATGCTCGGGGTTGTGTGGTCAGTGGTGGTGATGGTAGATGTCCCTGGACTTGACTGATGCTCAGGTCTGTTGTGTGAATTCCTGCAAGCTGGTGCTGTGCTGATCCTGTTTGAGATACATGCACGCTTGTATGGGCAGGCATCTCCTTAAGTGAAAATGCTGCTTTCCCACTGATATATGGGAGGAGAGCTATGCTATCTGTCCTAATGATGGAGTTGGTGGGTGCTGAATGGCTCCTGAGTCACCTGAAGGAAAGTTTCCCACTGATGGAAGTAGGAGGAAAAGTAATATTTCACCTAGGGTCACTGAAGCATCAGTTTTCTGAGATTCCCAGGAGAAACCCACCTCTGACTTCATTCCTCACTACCAAACAAACTCCAGTGTGCCTGCATCATGAAAGGCAGCACCTTTATTATTGAAAAGAGACCTGTGATGGCTTGATGTGTTGGGACATGGGACTCTTTTCTCTGCGCAGGGTTTAAGTGCACTCATGCAATCTCCATCTGTGTCCATGTGCTTGGCACATGGTCTCTGCTCCTCTTTCCCATTTCCTCTCACTTTCCTGCCACCTTCAAAGAAGTACGTGGTATGTTTTCCAGAGCACTCTATGCAGAGAGAAGAAAAATCGAACGAGGAAGTTCAAAAAGGGAACACAGCCCTGACGGACAGGATGTTTACTTGCTATTTAAAATGTGGTATCTATACGTGAGGTGTTTAATGTTGTTTTAAACAGGAAATGTTAATGTGGTTCCTTGTACTTTATCTGAAGCTGGTTTCTACAAGAATGACTGTATACTTATGGGCAGAGTTTACTAAGTAATTATATTAGACTACTTGCTAGCTAATTATACTTGAAACAAATCTCTAATAGATGCATATGTCATAATACCTATGTTGCTCTTATGTGTTTGATACAGCTGTCATCTGTTGCAGTAGTTTTTAGTTCCTCCTTAGGGCCATGAATGTGCTGCTATTTGTGGAAGGTCCTACTCTTAATTTTAGGTGGTCAAATCTAAGAGATTCTAAGGAAAAAAACCCAACACCTAAGTATTTTTTATTTCTTTTTATTTCTCTTTCACACAAAACCAAATTAACACAAAGTAATGGTTTAGCCAAGGAAGCTGCTGTGTTGTGCTGGGAGAGGGATTCAGTGTATGTAGACGTACAGAGGATAGTGATTAATATGTGCACATCTCTTCAGTGTGTACAGTGTAGGTAAATTCATATGCAGGTGGCGTGAGGCTGCATATCTGCCCATTTTTTCAGTAACTGTCCCTACTACAAGTCATAATTACTAATAAGTCACTCATTGCAGGACTTCGTTTCACTTTCGCTTTAATTACTATATGTGAGTCTGCATACTTTCACATTTGCTCAGTGGTTGACTTTACTACAAGTTGTAATTACTAATAAGTCATTCATGGCAGAGCTTTGTTTCAGTTTTGTTTTACTTACAGACATTCATCAGAATTTTGCTGTGGAATCATTCTTACAAGGAGCAGGGGAAAAGGTATCTCATATCACATTTTCCAAACTGTGATTGTATGGCATCGATGTAATTGCAAAGAAGTCCCCAGTGAGAGCATGTCGGCTTTTTAGGCCGTAAGATGGTACTGATTGACAGATGTGATTTCAGTTTAAACGGCTGAGTTTTAAACCTTTTTGCAGGTGATTCTCTGTAAGTTGTGAATACAGTATAAAGAATGGCTGCTGTGTCTTTGTGTGGTGTATACAGAGGATCACATGTAAGTATTATGCATGACCACCTGTATATAGATCTGATGAGCAGTATAGCCACAGTTATGTGCTGCAAAAAGGAAGAAGGAAGCAGGAGTTAGGGTATAGCAGGACTCCATCTGTGCTGCATGGCAAGAAGCTTTTGGATGGCTGTTTGGATTAATTTCCCATTTCCTTGGGGTCTTGTTTTCCATGGGCTTTCCTGCACCTGGCTGGTCATTTGTTCCTGTGCAGAAGAGGTGTGAAGGTTCTTTCTCCGCATTTTGTTCTCCTGGAGAATAATTTCTGGGTCTTCTTCACATGTGTTGGCAGGAGATTCGGG